CAAAATCATTGCTCTTGCATGCTGCATAGTATTCGATTGTGTGACTGTACCATAATTTCTCAATCGATTTCATTGTGATTGGACATCTGAGCTGTTTCCATGTTCTTGCAATGTTGTTATAATAATGCTGCTGTGAACATTAGCGTACAAGTCTCTGTTTGGGCTTCAGGTCTCATTATCTTGGGATATATTCCATGGGATATACATATGGGGAATAGTTGGGTCATATGGAATTTCTACGTTCAGCTTTTTGAGGAAACGCCAAATTGCTTTCCAGAGTTGCTGTACTACTTTACAATCCCACCAACACTGTGTAAGAGTTCCTATCTCACCACATCCTCTCCAACATTTATTCCTTACTGTCCTGTTAAACTATTGCTGGGGTGAGATGGTATCCAATTGTGGTTTTGATTTGCATCTCTCTTATTGCCAGTAACTTTTTGAGCATTTAATCATGTGTCTGTTGGCCATCTGAATGTATTCCTCTGTGAAAAGTCTTTCTATATGTTTTGTCCACTTTGTAAATGTGTTATCAGTCTTTTTCTCATGGAGGGTCTGTAGATTTCTGTAAACTTTTCATATGAGTCCCTTGTCTGAGATGGTATTGCCAAATGTTTTTTGAAATTTGATTTTTTTTCCCTTTTGTGTACTATTGATTTGGATCCAACTGGCACAGGAGGAGATTGCCCCTCCTCCAGCAAAGCATCTGTGGATTCAAACCATGCCCCTTTGGGATTGCAGTGCAGCTTCCTGCCACTAGGCCACCAAAGCTGCCTTTGTAATTGGATGTATTTTTGTAGGAGATAGAACCAAGCCCCGATGGTGGTCGTCCCCACGATTTGACGGTACCATAGACTCTCTAGACGTTCCGTCTGGGTTGGTGTGTACGTGGCTGATCATAGGCTGGTCCCTGGAATGGCTCATCTTTCTCCCGGTTCCGAGTGCTGTCCACATGAGAACATACAGACCCATTCACACGCAGACAGAGGAGCCCTGGTGGTTCCGAGGTGAAGTCTGCAGCTGTTGCTCAGTGGGAGAAAAGAAGGGTCTGCTTCTGTGAAGATCTCTGGTATTGGGAACGCTCCGAGGCAGGTCAGCCCTGCCCCAAGGGCTCTCCATGGGAGCTGGATTTGGCTGGAAGGCAGCAGTTCAGGTTTGGGTTTTTTTGTTTGTTTGTTTGTTTTTGCTTTTAATTTAGGTTGTTTATTTTTCATTTCAGTGAACATCTACAGAGATTTTGGGATTCCATTCATTCATTGTTGCACCCTTCTCCCCACACAAAGACCCCCCCACACCCCCGTTTGCTCCTCTCCTTGAAAAGCAAAAGAAAAACTCCCTCATTGGTACACAATCCCCCCTGCACACACCCCGAACCCTACCCACACCTCAAATATAATCCACTCTGCAACCCTCATTGCATATTCCTACGATAAAAATAATGCCCTAAAATATAACACTTTTAGACTATTCTCTCCCCCATAGACTTCAATGCCGTAAACATATTCCATCCAGTTTTTCTCAGTCTTACCCCCACCCCAATGCCAGCCTCATTCTACAACAGTGGCACCATATAGTATTTGTCCCTTTGTGACTGATACACCTCACTCAGCATAATGTCCTCCAGGGTCACACAATTTGAATAATATTGCATGAGTTCCTTGTTTTTCAATGCAGCATAGTATTCCATTGTGCGAATATACCACAGCTTCTCTACCCATTTGTTTGTTGATGGGCATTTAGGTTGTTTCCAACTCCTTGCTATTGTAAACAAAGCCGCGATAAACATGGGTATACATATATCTACTTGGATGTCATTTATGGTCTCTTTAGGGTATATTCCCAGTAGTGGAATTGCTGGGTCAAATGGTATCTTTATTTGCAACTTTTTGAGAAAGCGCCACAATGCTTTCCACAGTGGTTGCACCATTTTACACTCCCACCAACAGTGAATAAGGGTTCCAGTCTCTCCACAACCTCACCAGCATTTGTTGCTTGCTGTTGTGTTAAATTTTGCTAGTCTTACTGGAGTGAGATGATATCTCATGGTTGTCTTGATTTGCATCTCTCTCACGGCTAGGGATTTTGAACATTTCTTTATGTGCTTGTTGGCCATCTGAATGTCTTCCTTGGTGAAGTGTCTGTTCATATCCTGTGCCCATTTTTCAATTGGATTATTCTCCTTTATCTTGTTGTGGTTTGGTTTTTACAGCAGAGGAGGAGCTTTGGTCCTGGCCGGTGGAGAGCATGGCTTCTCCCCTGAACAGGATGAACTCTTGGTGCTATTCCTCCCTGCTGTGCTGACACCCAGGATGGCCTGGAGGAGGGAACTCGCACACCCTTCATGTCACTTTCTCATTCCCCCTAAGAGTAAGACAAGAAGCCATAGCAGGTGCCCTGCCTGGAAGTGGGCGTAGACTCTGGAACAGCAGCAAAGAAATGATGTGGGTCTTGCCCTCCACTGAAACTCCAGGAGCATTTACTTCTTGAGGATAAAGGAGGAAATCTGACGTCAGTTAATGTACATGGAAGAAATATTGGTAGGAGTGTGAGCATCATTTCACCACCCTGGCACAGAATGGTCCGAAAAATTATTTTCTCAGTTTTTTCTTTGCTTGTTTTTCAACATTTTCCCCCCTTGGGCGGAAGTTTACAGGACAAGTCGATTTCCCACGTGACAGTCTTAAGCAATTTGGTGACAGGGTTCCCCACACACAGGAGGGGGTGGTGCTTTCTCCCCTCCCATTGACCACTCCTGTTCCTCTTTCTCATCCCTCCCTGGCATCTAAGCTTTATTCTTATACAGATCAGGTCACCCTTTCAATCTGCTATGGCAGTTCTTCTAAGGAGGGCCTACCTGCCTTATGTTAATGTGTACCTTTAGTCTGAATTTTTGCTGAAAATAAAGTGAGTCCGGTTCCAGGTTCTAAGGGTCTGGGAGTTTACCACTCTCTGTAGACCAGAAAGCCCCACTGCTCCTTGTGATTTTGAGATTTGTTGCACAGTTTTCTCCAGTCTACCCAACATCTCCTGGTAGGGCCATTTTAAGAGTGCTGTGTGGTAGCTGAGATCTCTAGTTTTGGTCTCAGGGTGTGGACGCTGCGGTTCAAGTGCGCCATCAGTCCTTGAACTGGTTGCTTCCTCACATCTTTGATTTTCATCATTCTTTGCTCCAAATGGGAAAGGACCAGTAGTTGCACCTTTGAGAGCCACTCATGGGCCTCTAAGACCTCAGTCTGTGCTCTCCAGAATAGGACACAGAACCTCGTCTTTGTGGAGTGTGTCATGCTGTCTAACCATGCTGTCCCCCAGGATTGTCAAGGCCATGCATGGCCTGAGACCCCAGACCCAGTCACCCATTTACTGAGATACCTGGTTCTCGGTGTTTATCATGTGGTGTTGGTGAAGAATTGTGCTTTAGAGCCACGAACCTGTCATCCTCTTTCCTCTCCTCTTACACCTCTCTCCT